CAACTCAAAGTATATCTTGGAGAAAGCCGAAGAACTTAGCGAGAAAATAGGAGCAAAAATTGGAAGGAGAAAGATTAAAACTATTACCTACCACAGAAATGGTGGATAGCGGTTCTTAAATCAATCAATGACGCTAATTACCTTTCGATGGAGCAGATTGAAATCAATGAATTCGAGAAAACCCGTTGTTGTCAAGCGAAGAGAAGAACAGGGTTCTTCTCTTTGCTTGTCGGGTGTTTTTTTTTCAAGCGGAGAAGAACAAGGTTCTTCTCTTCGCTTGAAAAAAGAACACACCTGCAAACACCCGTTAAACGAAAAGAAAATGTTCGTGATCGGCAAAACGGAATTCCAAAACCAAGATGGCAAAATCAATCGATCAAATGGTGATGGCATGAATCACGTTCAAATGGTCATCGTATGCGTCACGATCAAATGGTGATGGCATTTTAATTATTATTTTTTTTTTATTTGTCATTAAAAAAAAAGAATACGATGCCGCGCTATATTACATGATCGGGGCTAAAAGAAGACAATATTTGCCTTATCACTACACCCCGACGTGCTTACATCAGCAAGCGTGTATAACAATTAAAATGTAAACATAAAACATAAAATTACTTTGTACCATTTAAAAATTATATACAAATATGTTAAGATCAGTTACTAATCTATAATCAAAAGAAAATCGTAAAAAAAAAAAAAAAAAAAAAAAAGCAATCACACCTAAAAACTGAAGATAAGTTAATAGGATAATTTAAAGAAAATTTAAATTAGTTAATAAGATAGTTGTTAAAAAAGGAGATAAAAGAATCTTAAAAAGCATTTAATTCATTAAATGTTTAATTTAAAGAGTTAAAAATGTTTGAAAACTTATTAAACTTAAAAATGACACCATCAAATGGTGATGGTATGATTACCATCAAATGGTGATGGTATGAGTCACGATCAAATGGTGATGGTATGCGACACGATAAAATGGTGATGGTATGAGTCACCATGAAATGGTGATGGTGTCATTTTTTTATTACTTTACTTATTTTTTTAATGGAATTTTTAGTTTCTATAATACTAATTTCACTACCATCGAAAGCATTCTCCTTTTTTTCTAAACTCTCCATGAGTTTAGAAAAAAAGGCACTTATTTTCATTTTTAATTAAAAATTATTAAAAAAATTAAAAATTTAAGTTTTTTAACGTCAAATGTTAATGGTCTGCGAAATGCGGAAAAGCGGAGGAAAATTATCAAATTCATATAAAAATAAACCAATTAAATTTTTTTTTCTTAAACAGGAAACTCATATAACTAGTAATCTTTTGAATATTTTAAAAAGAAATTGGGAAGGAGATATTTATTTCTCAACAGTAACAAATAGTACCCGCAGAACTGCTATATTATGCAAAAAGCGATTTAAAAAGGTAATTTTTTCTGGTAACGATGAAAATGGAAATTACAATTATGTGGCTTTAAACATTAATAATGCAAACTATTTAATAATTAACATTTACGCGCCATCTGGCGGAAATGCGGAGTTATTAAGAAAAAAATTACTTCAAGTATTGATTTTTGTATTCCGTTATCTTAAAAAGATCTTAACGATTTTCAAATAATAATAGGAGGGGATTTTAATGAAACCGATAATGACATTTATAAACTCTTCTATACTATGAATGATAAACTTAAAAGTATATCCAAAAGTTTTAAATGCAATAAACTAATTCTTAACATTAAAAAAATAAATTGGGTTCTTTCTCTCTAAAAAAGTTTATTTACCCCGAAATTTGCCTAAATTATTTATTGATGAAGTTGAAATAAAAAGACATAATGTAACAAAGTTCTATGATGTTTTTCTTGATGAAAATATCACATGGAAAACGCATATCGACTATATTGGTACAAAAATGTCTAAAAATATTGAAAATTTGTATAAAACCAGAGCATATTTATGTAAAAAACTAACTCAACTTTACTTAGCATTGCTAATACAGAAAATTTAGATGCATGTATTCTCTCGATAGATCAGGTAAAAGCTTTCCGAGTTGGCAGATGTTTTTCATTTAAAAGTCTTAAACATTTTGTTTTTGATTAGTTTTTTGTAAATCAAATGAAAACAATTTATAATAAAATAAACTAATAAAGCTAAAGTAAAAATAAACGAGTGGAGTAAGGCAAGGTTGCCCCTTATCCATGATTTTATACATCATACAAGCAGAAATATTTCAACATATATAAGACAAAACAAAAACATAAAAGGAATAACTATAGGCAAAGAAGAAACAAAAATTCAACAATATGCCGACAATACTAATTTCTATTTATGTGGTAATATTTCTATTAAAAATATAGGTAAAGCCCTAATTCTTAATTATAGAGCGACAAGTACTAAAATTAATTTAGCAAAATGTCAAGGCATTTGGTTGGGAAGAAACAGATTTGCAGAAAAGAAACTGTTTCTAGACTTAATTTGGGACAATAAATAATTTAAAAGCCTCGGTGAACCTTTTTCCAACACAGGAATATTTACTTATAAAAAAGAATTGGAAAGAACCCTTTATTAAAATTTTAAAGAAATAGGTCCAAAAAACTAATTGTTAATACAATAGTAATCAAGTTGTACACTCGTAACTCGTACACTCGTAAGTTGTACACTCGTACAGTCGTAAATTGTACACTTGGCTTTTATTGTTCCTATTCCCCATAAAAACGTTTTATCTAGAATGGAAACGTTTTATCTAGAATGAAATAAACAACTTTATTAGGGGTGATAAAGTGATAAAGTTCTAAGACTAAGTAACGAAAAAACACAGCAGAAAATAAAAAAGGGGGCATTGGAGTAGTTAACCTTACAAGCAAACTTAAAGCAATACAAATGCATTGGGTTGTAAAAGTTCATAAGGAAAACTTAGAAGGCCCATGGAATAAAGCTATGATCTACATACTCAATTTTATAGAAAATTAAATCTAAATAAATTCATTTTTGAAACATATCCAAGGTACTCCCACCTTTTTTATAGACAACTATTATCAAACTTTTGTAAAATTAAACAAGATTACCCGTAGTTGAAACGGAGGAAATACTAAGCCAGCTACTTCTTTTTAATGACAACATTAAACATAATATAAATAAATGTTTGACCCCAGAAAAGGTACACATTCAAAACGATAATTTTCTTGTAGTGGACATAGCAAAAACTTTTTAGCCTGGAACTTTAAATCCTATATCAATTGGTTTGACTGAAATCGAAATAAATAATATGCCTAAAAAATTGAATAACTAAAATTTTCAACAAAAATAGGATTTTAAAAAAGCGCCTTTTTATATATTAAACAGGGCCGACGACACCGGGGGGCCGGGGGGTACTAATTTATAAAAACTATTTTAAGAAATTAACGGGTTTGGTAAATTTAATTGTGCATCTTATCCAGCGGCTCTCAACTGTCCAAGCTAAAACTACAGTATTGCTATCCGAAACAGATCGTGACGAAGATACCATAATGTGCGATGACGAACTTTTGAGTTTGACATTACAGGAGTAGCTGGACATGGCCAAAAATAATGAGATGAAAATGAAACCAGTACCAAAAACAAATCAAAATATTAACGATCTGACTAAAATGATACGAAAAGAAATTTCTATATTTAAGGAAGACGGTACACGTGGTACCAAATTGAAGATCTATAAGATTATATTTTAGCTATTCCCCAACGAGCGTAGAAGCTTTCCCTTCATCGGGAATGTTATGCACGAAAATTTGATTTTTATATGACTAAACTTAAATAATTTATGTTTTTTGCGGGCTAAAAATATTAAAAAAATAAACTATTTTTTTTTAATTTTTTTTTTTCAAATGAATTAATTTTATGACTTATTTTAACTTAAGAAATAAAGTGTTTGAACAGTTTATTTGTTGCTTTGGGTTTTAATTAATGTTTTTTTTAGTATTTGTAAAAACCGGTATTAATACCGGTATATCTAAATTCTTACAACCGGTATTAATACCGGTATAACTAAATTCTATACCGCGGACCGTTTCTATGGAAACATTTTTCAAAATTTATCACAAAAAATAATGTTCATCACATCTCTTTGAAAAAATTTAGAAAAGAATCTAAGAATCTCTTATTACAAAAAGACTTTGATTTAAAATATCTCTTTTAAAAATAATACACAAATAATATAAATTATCTAAAAAAATAGTTATTGACACTACTTCTCCTTTGTTGCAATTTTAATCTAATTTAATTTTTTGTTGAAAAATTTTAATACTTTAAAATTATTGTTAATTTTTGATATAATGCGTTATATTTCAACACTAATATTTATGTTAAGTTATTAGTTATATTGTAACTAACGTATTTAAAATTCTTGTTATGTACTTAGCTACTCTTCATTTTTTATATTAACTGACGATTTTTTAGTGTAAATTTTATGATGGGGCTTGATGATAAGACAATTTATGTCTTCTGCTTGCTCCAGTTCTCTTATTAACACGATTTATTTCATTGTAAATTTTAATATATGACAAAACTCTTTGCTTAAAAAAAATAAAATAAATAAATATCGGTTTTCACTAAAACTAATACCGAAAAACCTGTATTTAATATTTGGTCCTGTATTGGAAGCCCTAGCAATGAGCCGGAGGAGGAAAAACGACCCTAATTATTGTAACTCAATCTTTAATAATTT